TGGAGCATGCATGCTGCTGTTGTAGCTAGTTCTCTGCCTCAACCAGTGAGCTACATTACCTATGGGCCTGGCCAATCCATAGATCGTGTTGCTAGAGCTTGAGGCTCCTTTGAGACCTGCTGCCCCACGCAGCTATTACTTACACACTTGAGCTTGAGGCTGGTGGATTCCGTTGCCTTGCATTGCTTGCATTCGATATCCCCTCTGGGCCTGCTTCGCTAAGCTCCCAAGCTACTGACTGTTGGTGACCTGCCCTGCTGCCTGCTGCCTGTGGGCAGCCTGCCTGCCTTGCCAGAGAGGACTCTGCTACCTGCTTTCTGGCCCTTGGACCCACCAGCCCACGTGAGTTGAAGGACTTCCAGTACATTAACTCTTCCATGGAATTACGTTGAACTGAACTCTCTGTACTGCTGTGTGGACTAATTAGCTGTTATATTCCTTCACACATATAAACCTGTCAGAGTAAGCCAGCCTCTGACAACCGAGGGGCTCGTAGGCGCAATTGTATGGTGATGATATATAAAGATTTTGGTAAAGTCATAGAAGATAGGAGAGAGAGTAAAATAAAGGAGTCAGACGCATTTTATGGTAGCATGCTCACCTCCAGGATGGCCATGATCTCAGCAGCCAGGTCTGCGCAGAGAGAGTATATTTCCAATGAAGGCTTATGTACACTTTGGGGTGTGCAAGCCCCTCTGATTACAGGTAACCACGGGGTAACAGGAAGGGACTGTCCAAAAGGCATACATGTGACAGGAAGGGGATGAGCTAGGGGTGTACACATAATAGGAAGGGGAGGGACTAGGGGTACACATGTGACAAGATGGGCAGCTCCTAGACTCAAGATGGCAGCCTAACCTTGGTCATCCTTGAGTAGGCCTGACCCTGTCTCTGGGCTCTCCTTAAGGGAAACAATCCGCTATCCTTATCAGCAGGGCATGGCCCACCTAAGGTGGGACAGGCAACAGAGTGATTGCTCTAGATGGCTGATGCCCTCAGGGAGATGGCCTCTAAGCAGCTGGAGGTGACTTCCAAATGTACAGTCATTTACCATATGATGCAAGCAGCATCTTAGGTTTGGCTTATGTTTGGGGAACAACCTGGAGAAAAACCTTTCTGTATCCCACATAAACC